ATTTTGCTTTCAAACACAAATCCCACAAACTGGGATCTCAACAGGACTGCTTGAGGAAGGGCGGAAGGAGAGTCCCACCAGGTTGTTTTTCATCGCCGACTGAGTAAAAACCTACTGAAGGAGAGATGAATGCCCCTCGGAGAATCTCTCTCCAGGCAGACAGCAGGTAACTGATCCTGCTCACGTGAACAACATCTTGTCATTTCTCAAACACTTAGAGGAAAGAAGGTTAATACCTTTGGTGCCAGGAGTCTGAAGAATAAGCAAAATGGCTCAGAAGGTGGGGTAGGAGGGGTGACTCTTGTCCCTTTACATCCAGCTGTCAAAATACTGCAATGAAGAGACCCAGAGGAGATACAATGCTGCTTAACTAGTGGAGAATTAGAAGCCTTTGCATTTGTTGCTGTATTTCAGCAAAGTCTAAAAAAAAGCAACGAGAAGACTTTGCAGACCCCTAAACTTGCACAGAATCATTCCAGTGGCCTCCAGTCATCTTTGGGGCTGCAACATATCCTGAAGGAGCCTGGCAGTACGTCACAAAGCCAAGAGATTCACACCGTGAAAGACGGCACGTGCCAAGATAGCCTAGGGACAAAGCCCACGCTGTCCCCATCAAAACAAGGGGGACTTTTCAACATTGACTTGCTCTCTTTCTTGGTGACAGAGTGGCAGAGCCTTTTCCTCCGACAAAGCAGGTATTTCAAATACTGTCCCATCAAACAGCACATGATTTTAAGGTAGGTCAAGTCTTCGGCACAAACCACTCAGCAGTGCCTTAGCTCATGCAGCAGATGTAGCATACAAAATTAAGCAGGTTTGCTCAAAGCCTGCATTCGTAGGTGAACCAAATGGACCCAAGCAGATGGGTAACAGAACACAGCAAGGCAGTTAAATAGGACTTAAAAGCTTTTGCAATTGCAAACACCGGAATGAACTGGGGCATGAAATTAATTTTAACTGTACTGAATAGGAGACAGGCCATAAAACTCCATGAAAATAAGAGACTGGTAACATTTTAGGAAGAGTAGAAAATCTCCCTGTAACTTCCTTGCCAGCTCTATTAGCATAAGTGACTCATCCCAATTGAAAAGCAAAGCAAATAAGCAGGAAGAATTAAAACTAGTGTTGCAACTCAAAGAATATCACTGTAGAGGAATCGAGGAATCCCACCTTTTGTGATATCCCCATGCCACTGACACCTGCAAATGTGCAACTGAAGAAAGATCTGTCCCAGGAAAAATGTAAAAAACAAACAAACAAACAACCCAAACAGAAACAGCCTGAACATCCTTCCATGCTCAGGTACGAGGCATCTAATCAACTCGCCGTAGTGTATGATTTTATATTTAGCACAACAGAGCAAGCTTACAATGAGATCTTGCGGATAGAATCACAATATAGATTATTTTCCAGCAACGTGCCAAAGGTGTTATTCATCACAGCTAAATTTGCTTATGGTGAAGTTGTTCAGAAGAATCTGCATCCAATTACACCTCAGCAGAATAGAATCTGTGGTGTCCTGGTAGTTGTCCTTCCAGTGCTTTGATGCATCCAACTGATCTGTCCAAGCGCCCACCTCATTTACTACTTCTCCTACTGAAAGAGCCACCTCCAGGCTAGAGACTGGAAGCTGCTTGTCTACAGTAGGCAGCACAAACATTTTAAGAGCGAGGAAAGAAGAAAAAATGTCTTCAAATGCAGCCAAAGGAGAAGCTGTGGGTAGGATTTGAACATCTGAGCATGACTTGGTCAAAATGCAAAAGTTTAATACCTTTTCCTCTAGGAGAAAGCACCCTGAAATACTTGCCTCCAAGAGCCACTGAAGTCTTGATTTTAGTATCTGCCTCCCAGCCACCTGAATGTCCTGTAATGTGCAGCAGGACACAGGAGATGGGAGAACAGATCACATCAATTTCTCCGCATGGTCATCAACAGGTAGTAAAGCAAAATTCAGACTCCAGGACCTCTGGGACAGGCCCACGGTCAAAGGAAGAAAGCATCTGGAACCCAGAGAGCTCAGGGCCTTTCACTGACCTAGATCTGTGAATGCACTTGGCTGGCATCAATAACCAGCTGAAGACAGCTAATTGCAAGGTTTCTGGAAGGAGGAGACGGAGGCTTTTCATTAAAACGTGTAGTTTCCTTTCCATATTTCTGCAGCACTAATCACAGAGAACATTAACCCTGAGACTGCCTGCTTCAACCTTTCCTCAGTTTATCACCACCACTGCTACAGCCAAAAGGGAGGAGTGCCCACTGTGGAGTTAAGATAACCATTCAGATGCCTAACAGTGAAGGTCTGGAGAACAATGCCTGCTCTCAAGGCCCTAGAAGCTGGTTTTGACAGCACTTCACATTTCATTAGCAGCTTCACTCCTGACCTGTGTAGTCAGTTCCCTCTTGTTTGCGCCTGTCTTTCACACAGCAACAAAGGACAGGAAATCATTTAAATCACAGGAAAATGTGATCACGAAACCACAAATATTGGCAGAGGAATGGAGAGTGGGTGAAGTACCTGGAACTACTTTTAACTCATTCTTCCAAGGATGAAACTAGCTAACAGATTGCAGTTGCCGCCTTCGCTGCCCAGGGAGCATTTCTGGAGAAGAGGGGGATCAGGAGAGACAGCGGCTGCCACATGCCACTGCTGCCAGGGTAAGTCATGTGCAACATGCTGAGTACCTCCTTGGGCCACCAGCACACAATTCTGGGCAGGATGATGTCTCCACCATTGGCCCCCTCAGCCAACAACAAAACATGCACACTTCCCAAAAGTGGTGGGCTGCAAAGCTCTCCCAGGGAGCACAGACCCTCTGCCAGGCATTATCGCTCCTCCCAAGAATATAATTGTCATCTACTTCAGTATTCATGTGTGGAGTTGGTGAGTTGGACTGCGCTGCTCTGGTTTTATTTGCTTTAATTATTTGCACCTATGAAGGCACACCTGAGTGCAGCGTGCTGGGGGAGCAGCCAGTGTTAAAGGCGGATGTCTGCCTGGCCCCGCGCACCCTCCCTGCACCCAGAGCTGCCTTTGCAGCATCATGTCCGTTGAAGGAAATAGCCAGAGAGCTTAAAAAACAGGAGGCCCAAGCCAAAGCACATGAACGTCAAACTCCCGGCAAGTCCTTGCCTCAGGCTTGTGGCGAGGTCTGCCAAGCTCGAGCAATCAGAGGTGCAGACACGACCGAGGGCACGTCTGCTGGCACTCCTGGAGCCGCGGGCTGCCCCGGCTCCCTCTGGAGGGACTGGTGAGGCCCTAACCCATTTCTAAAACTGAAATCCTGGAATAAGAAGGTCAGAAAAGGGGCTGTTTAGAGGAGGGAAAAGGGAAACCTAGCAGACCAACCACATGAGCTGAAAGGGAAAGACACAAAGGAAATGTCTGGAAGCTGAAAGCTACTGAGAGGTCTCTGAAGCAGGAAAAGAAACCACTTCCCATGAATTCCTTGGTTTACTTTCCCTCCCTGCAGCAATGCTCTCCGTCCCTCTGACCCACCAAAAGGAGGAGATGCCTCCCTACCCTGCAGGAGCACGCCGGGGACACCCATGCACGGCCCTCGCGTTCAGCGCGCCGGCCCCAGCCTTGCCCATCTACCGAAAGGCTCGCCACGACCTGGGGTTTGAGCATTTTACCAGACTCTCTTCCTCCTCCCCACGTGCTCTGGGGACAGGTGGCATTAAACGCGAGCAGCACGTAACGCAACGTGCCTCCCTGAGCCCCGGCAGCAGGGCGAGAGAGCAGGGAACGTTAACTCTTTCACTGTAATCCCCCGGCGTCAATTAACATACTGCTGAAAGCAAAAGATGATTAACTTTTGTTAATAGATTATTCAAGACGATGATTGTCAGCTGACCGAGCCCTTACCAAAATAGACATACTGCAGGCAGCACCAAGCAGCACGCCTGGAGCAATCATCTGTTCAGGCAAGCCAGATACAAGTTTCAGATCTGGTTTGATTATTTAAAATTGCCAACAATAATCACAATTATCACTATTCTCATTATCTATTATATTTCTTCTACATTCAGGAAGTTGCTGTCGTTATTAAATGCAAGTTGATGATTAAATCATGTATTGAGGTGGTAAGTCATAAATTACATGATTGCTAAGTCTCAGTAAGCATCTTTGAAATAACCAGTGGTTATTAGACAGTCAAGAGGTGCTTCTTGAAAATCTAATTGTAATTGCAACTTTTGATTCCACCTCACCTTTCCTGCACACACACAAGCTGGCAGTTGATTTCGTACTTCAGTACGCGCGAAATAAACAAAAGCAAAAGCACCTCACATCTCATTTCCTTCCAAAAGACCCGTGGACACGAGCATCGCTCGGAAGCGAGCCCGAGGGCGGTGCTCGGAGCGGGGCCCAGCGCCATGCTGGCCCCTCTCCCGAC